TTAGAGAGGGCTGAAAGCCCTATGAAACGGTATATAAGTCTAACTGCTATTGCTATTGCTATTGAATCTGCTGCCTTTGCCGCTGGCGGGCCACAACAGAGAGATTGCCCCACATTGTCCAGTGGAATTAAAACCCTTCAGGTTGCATAGAAATTCTTTCTACTTGATGGAAATGTTGGAAATAAGAGCTTCATTTTTTTAAAATAAAGAAAACCCAAATACTTTTGAAAATAAATGCAGCTAATATCAAACTGACGGCTTGATCTCTCCCTCTCTTCCAAAGCAAACATCTAATGGTTCAATGCAAATTGATTTTTTTTTTTAAAAAAAAAAATGAGGCCACCGAAGTGGGGAATGAGAAAGTGCTGGCTGAGACTCTCCCTTGGCTTCTTCATCCTTCTAAGAACCAGCAAGCAGCAGGCTGCAAAAACGCACAGCAGGCCGCTATTGATACGAGCTATCTTGATTTGCAAATAATGCAAATGATTTTTCAAACACTGATTTTGCAGATGCTCCTTTGAGTTGGCCCAGCACTAACTCTGCAGCAGAAGAACAAGATAGCGGCGTATCTGCTATCGGCAGGAATTTGCTCGTAGCTTTTGAAGCGAAACCAATCCTGTTGGGCCTCTGATAAAATTCAAACTCGCATCCGTATTGAATTTTCACTTGCAAAATGATTCCATCGATCGGAGCAGATAATAACCTCTTAAAAACATGCCGGGACTGACGCTGAATGTTGATCTGCCGTTCCTGTCACTCGGATGGCGTGGAAACTTTGCCAACTCCAGACAGGGCGATCGATGGTTAGCCATCTTGGGCCGTTTCCTCTTCCTCCGCTTTGCATTTATCGGAGAGGAGGAACGGCTGAGGGAGGGAGAGTCTCTGACAGAATCATTATCACCGCTATTAAATGAACATTTTCAAGACTTGGGTGTGTGTGTGGGGGGAACATGACAATAAGGACGATTTGACGTCAGGGAGGAAGGATCTGGGTTGTCAGGAAAATTAGAAAGGGGGAAACTGTTTTCCCAGGAAAAAAAGGAAATACAAAACTTTCACCAAAGAGAACCTGAGTTTGCCAGGTAGCCAACAGGGCTTCTGGATGATGCCCCTTTCCTGCCTATTCAGTTTTCCAAGGGCTTGCCATTGTTCCCCCAAAATGACAAGTCTTTGGAAGAAAGTTCTCTGGTGCTGTCCTTGGTCACCCTCCGTGAAGAAACGTCTGTGGAGGTTGTACATCCTGCAGTCCCCAAACTTGGCAACTTTAAGACTTGTGGATTTCAATTCCCAGAATTCTCCAGCCAGCTATGCCAGCTATTCCAGGAAGGAAGGGAGGGGGAGGGAAGGGAAGGGAGGAAGGAAGGAAGGAAAGAAGGAAGGAAGGAGGGAAGGAAGGGGAAGGGGAAGGGGAGGAAGGGAGGTAGACAGGAAAGGGAAGAGAAGGAAAGGAAGGGGAGGGAGGGGAGGGGATGGGAAGGGGGGAAGGAAGGGAAGAGAGGAAGGCAGGTAGGAAGGGAAGGAAGGAAGAGAACGGAAGGGAAGGAAGGAAGGAATGGAANTCCTCCTCCTCCCTCCTCTCCTCCTCCTCCTCTTCCTCCTCTCCTCCTCCTCCTCTTCCTCCTCTTCCTCCTCCTCCTCCCCCCGAAGGCTAAAAGGGCCCTTTCACCTTCTTCCAGGTTCTGCACCAACTGAAGAGGCTGGGCAAAATCTGGCAGGATGTCCTCCCGGTGAATATCTACTGCCGGGCCATGGGGACCCTGCTGAACACCGCCCTGGTGGAAATCATTAGCCGGGTCCTTGCTCTGGAGGTGAGGACTGAGCACGACACACTCGGTGTGTCTGTGCGTGTGTTTGTGTGTGTGAAGGAGTCTCCGTGCAAACACGTTGCCGGAGGCCCGGCTTTGCTTCTTGACGTGGTGCCTCACCAGATCCAAACGGGGTGTCGGCCTCTCCGCCTCCCTTGCAGGACATCTCCGCCGAGAACGCCGACCGGCTGCATGCCCTGTGCCAGACCGTGGTGGACGAGGGGCCCCGGGTCTTCGTGCCCCTGCCGGAGGAGAAGGAGAACCGGCCCTTCCAGGAGGAGGTGCCAGTCTACGTGCCCAAGTGGATGATGTTCCAGGAGCTCATGTTGCTCCTGCAGGCCAGTCTGCAAGAGATCGTGGACAGGTGAGCGTCCCAGGTGCAGGTGGGGGTGGGGGAAGGATCGGAAGCCAGAGGCAGCAGAGGGGGCGGGGCCTCTCCCTCCGCGCTGGGGCCCCTCCCAGTCAGGAAGTTCAACCTAGGCCGGGAGTGGGCAGCTCTGGCGACGCCACCACCTGTGGACTTCAACTCCCAGCATTCCTGAACCTGCCTTTGCTGGCTCAGGAATCCTGGACTCCACAGGTGGGAAAGTTGGCATCGTTGCTCACCTCCTGATCTTAGGCAAAGCAGGTGGACCACTAAAGGGGTGACGGTTCCATGCTGCTTTGGGATATTTGAAAAGGTTTTTTGTTTTATTTTAATTTCATACGTATAACCACAAGGATACCGTTACATCTGAACAGAATTTATTTATTTTTGTATTGTCCATTATCATTCTCTCAACCCAGAACAGCTGTCATTCGCTCTTCTGCTTTCCATACACCATATTAGCAATAGCAATAGCAGTTAGATATATATATGGTAAAATCAAAGCTTTCTCCTTCGCTTTCTCCTCCGAAGGTGGGCGGGCAGCAAAGGGCCCCTGGCTGCCGAGTTCTCCCCCAGCGAAGTGAAGAACCTCATCCGGGCCTTGTTCCAGAACACGGAGCGGAGGGCGGCTGCCTTGGCCAGCATCAAGTAGCGTTTGCACCTGGGGAAGAGCGTCCTGGCTGCGCTCCCTGCAGCTGAGGCTGCCCCCTCCCCAGTCTCCCCTTTGTGGAGTTCTGGCTGGGCCTGAGGTCTTATTTTGAAGCCCATCGAGTTCCACAAATGGCCCCCATCTGTGGACTTCAGAAAACGACTTTCCCAGCAGAACCTGTGATCAGCCGACTGGGCCACCTTCCCAAAGAAGATCCCAGATCTTGGACATGGCCCTGCTTTCTCCGTTCGGCCGAGCCCACATGGCTTGCGGGAGCTCTGGGCAGCTCAAGCGCCGGATGAGAAGAAAGGGCCTCTATGCAGCTTCTTTCCAAGGGAGCCCTCCTTACACGCACCTTATCGCTTATCTTTTGCAAGGGGGGCTGCTAAAGCACACCGGACTTGAAGGGGGGAGGGGGGGAGGGAGGGAAACCAACCTTCCAGCCGAAGCCTTTCAAGGCTCTTAAAGTGCCAAAGCGGCCTTCATTTTACCGGCTCTTACTCTTCCTTTACTCTGCGGTGGTGGGGAAGGGAGTGAGATTGTGGATTTAAAAGAAGGGAAAATGGGATGGGGTTGGTTCAAGGGTGGAATCCAGCCGGTTCTGACAGGTTTTGGAGAACCGGGAGCGGAAATTTTGAGTAGTTTGGAGAACCGGCCAATGCCACCTCTGGCTGGCCCCAGAGTGGGGAGGGAATGGGGATTTTGCAGTATCCTTCCCCTGCCACGCCCACCAAGCCACACCCACAGAACAGGCAGTAAAAAAGAATTAATTTCACCACTGGGTTGGCTGGTCCTGCCTCCCCCACCCCACCCCATTGGCTGCCCCGCTTCCTGTTCCCCTTTTGTGACAGGAGAAGCCTCTGGGCCTTTAGGAATCCTGCTCCCATGGAAGTGGGTCTTTACTGAACCAGCGTCTGGCACGGGGACGGCAGCAAGCTGGCTGGCCAAGCTACAAGGGTGAGACTGGAGTTCCCTTTCTTGATGCCCGGCGCCTGCCCTGGTGCTTCTTGGTGGGTTCTCCTCAATGCCAAGTCCCTCTCTGGCCACATCCCTGCATATTGGGGGTTGGTAGACATTCTTGTCTCTCTCTCTCCATGTGCAGAATCTGAGGGCATCTCAAGTACAATCCTTCCCTAAGTCCAGCATTCGAAATTGGCAGAAGATGCTTTGGGTGCCATAACCCTCTCTGGTTTGAGTTTGTTTCGCATTTAAAATTAAACTCTACAGAGTAAAAGCCACTCCCTGCCCGGTTTTTGAAAGATGAAAAGAAATGCTCACATAAAACAGAGTACATAATTGAATAGCCGCCCAGAGTCCCAATGGGAGTGGGGACAAATTTTATTAAACTGAAACTATTAAACTGAATAGAATAGGATTCTTTATTGGCCAAGCGTGGTTGGGGACACAAGGAAATTTGTCTTGGTGCTGATGCTCTCAGAGTACATAAAAAAAGACAAGATGCATTGGTCAAGAATCATAAGGTACAACACTTAATGAAGATCCGGGAAGACAGGCAGGCCTGGCTGACTTAATCTGGGGAAGGGGACGATGTGAGGCTGGAGGGCTTCTTATCGCAGTGAAGGTTTGGCCAGGATGGTCTGTTTCTGAGAAAAGGACGTAGACAGTGGGGGGCATTTTACTGGGGTATTGGAGAATTGTGGCTGTCCCACAATTCTATGGACTGGGCTTCTTGTGAAAGTGGGTACCTTTACTTCGGAATTTGTCCTGTTGCCTCTTTCTCTGTGTGCTCTGAGTACACGGGCAGTTTTTAAAAAGTTTTAATTTTTGACTCCTCTCAGCAGATGGCAGCACACGGCCAGCTTTAGCTCATCTTGGCCTGGCAAAGGAACACAAAGCTGTAAGCAACAGCACCACATTTGGGGGAGGGAAGCAATGACAACACACACACACACACACACCCTCCCTCCGACGAAGTTGTCTTGGTCACCAAGAGTCAAGCTTGCATCAAAATCACCTTGACCTTCCGATGAAAATGGCCCTCGTCCTTGGGTTGTTAAGCAATTTCTTTCAGGAGCTCTGGCGTTTTGAATGGCCGTATTATTCCATCCGTGAAGTCCAGCATTTTGATGCCTGGAAAGGGAGTTCTAGGACATTGGCATCTAGGCTTGGCATAGGTGCTGGTGCTGACATTAGTTTGGAGAGAGGGGCTGAGAGTAGCTGGGAATGTTAGTCTGGAGCTGGAGTTCAGTTTAAGCTAACAGATGGATGGGATTTTTCCCCTTTTGTGTTTGAAAACTGTTTTATTCCATTTTCCTTTTCCTTTTTATACAATCACTTATATACTGTGCAATTAAGAGAGCAATAAACACAACTCATCTTCTATTCCACCATGGAAAACCAACATAACACTTCAATCCTCCATACACCCTTTCTTCTCCCCGGATTTTTCCCCTTTTGGACCTCCCTGATGATTGTGCATTTCTAAAGCCACAGTGATGTGTATTTTTCACTACCCTGAAATGCAAAGGGTTGGAAGGGAGAGGTTATAAATCTATAAAATGTTCCGCTGTCGAGCCAGAGCTGTAAGGGAAAGGCTTTGCCGGATAATGATAAAAAGCCAGGTCTTTTCAAGTATCTGCTGAAGATGGGCAGACTCAAGACGATGGGAAGGGTGGAAGATTCCGGTAACCGTGAGAAGTTTTCATTTTTTTTTTAAAAAAAAAGCTTTTATTAAACATTTTAACCTTTAGAAACAAAAGGAAAAAAAAAAACAAGACANCCGGTGAGATTAGAACCGCTGAACTGCAGATAACAGTCAGCTGAAGTGGCCTGCAGTACTGCACCCTAACCACTGCACCACCTCGGCTCTATAAAATGCAAGAAGAAAAATAGGAACCACCTTTGGTGGGAAGGTAACAGCGTTCCATGCGCCTTCAGCATTGTCATGCCAGCCACATGACGTCTTCGGACAGCGCTGGCTCTTCGACCTTGAAACGGAGATGAGCACCACCCCCTAGAGTCGGGAACGATTAGCACATATGTGTGAGGGGAACCTTTACCTTTTTATGAAGCGATTCTTTACTTCATTTCAACTGATTATCTCTGTTCTCCTCTCCCTATTGAATTATAGATATAAACTTCTAGAGCAAACTCTCTCTGCCCCGGGAGCCAAGAAACTCGCCAACTTCATACATTACGTTCTCAAAGAAAGAAGATTTGAGGTTAGGGTTGAAAGAGGATCTTTCGTTAAAAGCAAACTCGTAGCAACACTTTGGGGCAACCTGCCAGGAGCTCAAATTCTCAATCCACAGAAGGGCATTTCTTTTTTCCTGGGTAATCAGATTTTTGTTTTGTCATCGTAATTGCAAATTGGGCTAATCTAACATCTCATTAGACGGGAATCAAAAGAAACAAAAGGAAACAAAATTAAATTGCCACTCCTGAGTCTTGACTGCCAAAGCACTAGGGATCTCTCTCTCTCTCTCTTTGTGTGTGTGTCTGTGTGTGTGTCTGTGTGCACGTGTGCGTAGGGGGTTCTTTTGTTTTCTCCCTTCTTTCCTTGTCTGAATGCTGGGAATCCTGATAACAATAAACCAGAACAGCTAAAAGATGGAGGTGGCATGACTGAAACAGTCTGCAAGAGGAGCGATGGCAGGGGGTGGCATCCAGCTGGTTCTGACCGGTTCTGGAGAACCCGTAGCGGAAATTTTGAGTAGTTCGGGGAACCGGCAAATGCCACCTCTGGCTGATGGAGGTTTTGCAGTAGCCTTCCCCTGCCATGCCCACCAAGCCACGCCATGCCCACAGAAATGGTAGTAAAAAAATTGAACGATGGTGCCTGTGCTCCTTTGTAGAAAGTGAGCACCCCTCCCTCTCCTAGAAGAACGAAATATTTTGAGAAGTATTAAAGAGGCAGACTATTCTATTTCCCTGGATGGGAAATTGGGAAACGTGGTTTTCAAGGGAGGGAGAAAGCAGCCCCTGCCTTTCTTAATAGCCCTCAGCAGATCTCTACCAAACAAAAGAGCTTCAGCTCCAGGGTGATGGGATTAAGACATTAAGATCTCGTCCGAGCCTTCCCCGGACTCCAGGACTGGCCCAGGTTCCTCCCCAACCTCCTCACTGTCTGAAGGTGGCACAGTGGTTAAATGCAGCACTGCAGGCTACTGCTAGATCAGCAGGTCAGCGGTTCAAATNACAGAACATATGGGTTATCATTTGATATGTGTTTGTTCGCGCCTTTCTGGCTCAGATCTTGCTTTGCCTTCGCTGCTGTCTTTTCATAACCAGTCAAAAGAATTTCAATTCCACGCACCATGGAGTTGGGAGTTTTCTTCCTGGGTTATTGATGGAGGCATGCCTGACGAACTGCCTCATTTACCAATGGAAATCTCAGGCTCGATAGTGGCCTATAAAGTTATGGTCCCGATGAAGGAGTATGCACCTACCACCACCACCCACCCAGTCTTCTTTCTGATTTCCTTTCCGCCCCCATTTGATCAACTGTCTAACCGGCTTATGAAAAATGCAATTTCACAGAATGAATTGGACAGCAGAAAATGGATAAAACGCTCTTCAGAGCAGGGAGCCCGGTGTTCTCATACAGGCTGCAGGATAATGGGACTTTCAGAAATGCCTTTTATGTCGTAGAAAAACGCTCGGTGCTGTCTTCTAAATCAGATTATATTGTTCACCAAAGGCGAGCCTTCAGCCTGGTGAGGGGGGGGGGCGGGGGGGCATGGGTGTTTTTTCTTTTTTACTTCAAGTGAAGAAAGTCACAGGAAACGAGAGGAAGAGACCAGTTTTCCTGCAACATTTCCAAATGCCACCACTCTGAATAGTTTTATTGATTGATGATATGACATCCAAAGAGAATACAAAAGCAAATATTAGGGAAATTAGGAAAGGAGAGAGGGAAGTGGAGAGTGGGGGGAAAGCAAGGGAAAAAGAGGGGAAAAGGCATTGACTTCCGAACAATTTGGTGCAGCGAAATAAGGCATTAAGATCTCCATGTTAAAGGCAGGAGACCCATTGGCACACACAGCCATTTCTCCATCGTTTCTTCCATTGTGGCATTTATATTTCATAATCCACATTTTAATATGATCGCCCAAGGGATGCCTTCACTTCTTAGTGACTCTGGTTGTTTCTTCGTTGCTTTCTTTTTGAATCTCCTGGCTTCTCTCCTTCTTCTTCTTCTTCTTCTTCTTCTTCTTCTTCTTCTTCTTCTTCTTCTTCTTCTTCTTCTTCTTCTTCTTCTTCTTCTTCTTCTTCTTNTGGCTGGGGAATTCTGGGAGTTGAAGTCCACAAGTCTTAAAGTTGCCAACTTTGAAGACCTCTGATCTAAGTGGAGAGATTGCAGAGGAAGGGATTACAAGAGAGTAAATTATGCTGGCTGAGGAATTCTGGGAGTTGAAGTCCGCAAGTCTTAAAAGTTCCCAAGTTTGGACACCCCTGTCCTAAAGGATGATTGAAGCTTTAAAAGCAGGATATCTCCAACCTTGGCAGCTTTTAAGATCTGTGGGCTTCAACTCCCAGAATTCCCCAGCCAGCCATGCATGGTTGGTTGGGAGAATCCTGGCAGTTGAAGTCCACGAGTCTTAAAGTTGCCAAGGTTGGAGATACCCCTGAGCCACAAAAGTGACTTTTCAAAAGGCAACTGGGCTTCCCTTGTTTTACCTTGAAGCCATTTCGCTTCTCATCCAAGAAGCTTCTTCGGTTCTGACAATCAGAATTGAAGAAGCTTCTTGGATGAGAAGCGAAACGTTTTCAAGGAAAAAAAAAAAAAGTCCAGTTGCCTCTTGAAAAAACACCAACCGTGAGAAGCTCCATAGACATCCCCCCCCCCCTGCCCCAGTGCTTTAAACTCCCCTCTCTCCCTTCCGGTGCTATTGCAGGCCACCTCTTCCCACGCACCTCCTCTTCTCATTTCAGATTAGGGCTCCTGATTGCTGGCGCGTCCTGGCTGCCCTGCTGAAAAACGGGGATGTGTTTGCAACATCTGTAAAAGCAATTTGGAAAGCTGTTATCCCTTGATGAGATTTCAGCGCCAGTTTTGCCCTCTGCTCGTTCAGTTGAGGCTGTCCAGGCACAACGGAAATTGAATCCGTGAAATAACACGTTGGCCATGGATCGTTGGGGGGTCTTCCAACATGGCTGGACAAGCCCAATTAGGGGAAGTGTTCCCCATCTTTTTAGAAAGCAGGGGAGGTGGGGTGGAGCGTCCGAGCCGAGCCAGAGGGCTGAACTAATAAATAGGGACAACTGAAAGCTTAAGCCCCAAAGACAAATTCCTTGTGTGTCCAATAAAGAATTCTATTCCACTCCATCTCATCCCATCCCATTCCATAGTGCAGTGGTTCCCCAAACTTGGCAGCTTTAAGACTTGTGGACTTCAACTCCCAGAATTCTCCAGCNGTAGTGCAAGTAGAAAAATAGGAACCACCTTTGGTGGGAAGGGAACAACGTTCTGTGTGCCTTTAGTGTTGAGTCATGTCGGACACATGACCACAGAGATGTCTTCGGACAGCGCTGGCTCTTCGGCTTTGAAACGGAGATGAACAGCGCCCCCTAGAGTCGGGAATGACTAGCACATATATATTTGTGTGTGCGAGGGGAACCTTTAGCTTTAATTAGGAAGGTCTGGCTTTCAGGTCAGGGTAATTTTCTTTAAGCAGTTCTTCTGGGTCATTTTCATAGCTACCAGCCCCTCCCTGGGCTTTGCTTCTTAACCTCCTTGGCGTTGGGTCCCTGGGGGTGTGAAGGCAGGCTGCTCTGGGTGGCCCCCTTAGGCTCATTCTCTGCCTGTGCTTCCTCAAGCAAGGACCTTCCAGGGTGGCTTAAGGCAGTTGGCCAATCCCCCCCCTTTGGGGTCTGTAGAAGCAGATGGGACCCAACTTCTCTCCTCTCTTCTCTGGCAGCTGCATCCAGCTCTTCTACCTGGTGAGGAACATCTTCCACATCTTCTGCGACGTGGTGCCCATGTATCATAAGTGAGTGGCGGCTGTCCTTGGGGGGGAAATCAGCCCAGCCCAGAGGGGGTGCTAGGCAAAGCTCTGGCTTAAATCTGTTGAATTACAGGCGGTCCCCGACTTAACGACTGTAACGGAGCCTGGGATTTCCCATCAGAAGTCCTGGCAGTCATAAATCGAGGCGCTCACATAAACCCGACCCGGCCTTACGACTTTTTTGTGTGGTGGACATTAAATGAACATGCCCATGGACGTTAAGCAGATCCATTTATTCCTATAGATGTTTTTTGCCGGAAACCGGCAAAAAAACCATTGTGGGACATGGCTGTGTGGCTGAGCCACAAAGATGAGCCGGTTGTCAAACGGGGGGGAATGCCATGTGACTGCAGGGGGTGCAGCCGTCCGAACCCTTAAAACCGGGTCATAAGTAGCCTTTGGGAGGGTCCGATTCAACCCCAGTCACTAAGCAACAGGTCATTAAAAGAGGACTAACACTACTGCGTTCTCCTTTTAAATTGGTGGAGTTACATTAAAACACTTAAGAACTTTCTCACCCACTGATGGCAAACTTTTTCGGCACCAAGTCCCGAAACGGGAGCGTGCGTGGAAGAGCAGCCGCCCAGTTGCGCATGTGCGAGCCGGGGAGACGGTCCTCCAGTTTTCGGCGCATACCTGCACACCAGCCACCTGGTCTTCCGGTTTCTGGCACGCATGCACACGCGAAGACCAGCTGGCGCACGCCAGGAACAGGGAGATCATCTTCCCAGCACACACATGCGCAGCTGCCCTTCCAGCCTCTGGCGCTCCCGGCACATGTGAAGAGCAGCTAGCCGGCGTGCCAGAACCCGGAAGAGCAGCAGGCAATGGCTCGCATGCTCAGAGAGATGGCTCTGTGTGCCACTTCCGGCACGCGTGCCCAGGTTCCCCATCATGGTTCTACCCCTTTAACACGGGGAAATCAAAGGGGGGTTCTGGGAGTTCAAGTCCACCAGGCGAGGTTTGTAGGCCCCTGCTTTAAAACACAGGTGTCTTTATAACTTCTCAAAAACATACCCAATGAATCGCAGGAGGGAAACGGCACTGAATGTGCGCAGATCCCCACATTCTCTAAGCACCTCCTCTCTTTTCCCCTCCCTCCCCCCCCCAGAGAAAACCTCCAGAAGCTTCCCCAGCTTGCTGCCCTCCACCATAACAACTGCATGTACATCGCCCACCACCTCCTCACCATGGGCCACCAGTTCAGGAGCCGGCTGAGCGATGGGACGGCCACCTTCGTCGACTTGGTGCCCGGGTTCAGGAAACTGGGTGAGTCTCTGCCTCTCAAGCTAAGGCGGTTTCCCGGTGTAGCGCTGCATTAAAGTCTACTCCAACGTTACCAAACGCGTCTGGTTGGCTGCTTCTCCCGAGTCCCTCCCTGGTTGAACCCGGTTCAGATTTTAGGGTGTTCCCCAGAAAGGGACGGGCGGTGAATTCCATTTTTCTTACTACCGGTTCTGTGGGCGTGGCACGGCTTGGTGGGCATGGCAGGGGAAGGATACTGCAAAATCTCCCTTCCCTCCCAATCAGCTGGGANACGAAGACAGATTCCTCCCATCCAGTTCCAGCCAGGTGCAGAGACAAAGATGACCTCGAGTTTCTAAGAAGAATGTTGTTATGGCTACAACACTGCCCTCCCTTTCCCTCTCCCTCTCGCCAGGACAGTTACTGCTGAAGCACATCCTCAAGCCTTTGGTCTGTTGCCCTTCCTTACGGCTCTCGGTGGAAGAGCCCCCCGATGGCGTCACACTCAGATTTGAGTCTGTGGGCTCCAGCCTGGGTCATCCGTCCCCCTTGGAAGTCTTTGCCAAGCTCAAATCGGTGTTCAAAGTCCTCCACCAACACCTGCTGGGTAAGGACCTGATCCCACACTGGCTTGAACCGGGGGTGGGGTGGGGGGCATAGGAAACGGACCCCAGGAAGACCCCGGGGGCTTCTGCTGCCGTTGACTCCTGCCGGGTGAAGGCTGCCGAAGGAACCACGGAGCTTTCTCCCTTCTCCAGACACACCGCTGGGCCGTTGCGAGGGAGAGGAAGGGGAGGAGACCGACCCCAGGCCCGTTTTGGCCGAGGTGCTGGGCAACGTGATCTGGAAGAAGATGTCCGACTGCCTCATTTGCGATTGCTTGGTGCACTCCATCCCCAGCAACAGCAGCCAGCTTGCCCAGTACACGGAGGTGGGTGCTGCGACCTTTGGCCTCTGGGACCACCCCCCGTCTCTCTCTGGGCTGCTTCCTAAATTAGGGAGAACGAGGAGGAGGAAGTTTGCCCAGGAGACTGAAGTTAAAATACTGAAATTACACTTTTCTTAACACAGCTAGTCTTGACTTACTGTATTTTTCGGAGTATAAGGCGCACCCTTTTTCCTCAAAAAAGAGAGTGAAAATCTGGGTGCGTCTTATACACCGAATACAGCATTTTTGGTGTCCCGAAACCCCGCCCCCTTTGCAAAAATGGCTGTGCATAGCTTTTAGGAGGCTTCCAGAGAGCTCCTGGAGGGCTGGGCAGGGCAAAAATGGGCAGCTTTTTGCTCATTCCCCCCCCCNAAAAACAGAAAGAAAAACACAAAAAAAGAAAGAAAGAAAAAACAAGACAAACATAGCAATATAAAGTAATTATATACAGCCTTCCGTATCGGCATTCATGCTTAGCCTTTGTAGTTCTCCATTCTACGTCGCCTTCCTATCGGTTTTAACTTCTCTAATGATATAACAACAGTTGTACTAACACTTGTAATAATATTAATTGTTCATATCACCATTGTGCTTACATTGTGGTCAACGCTTTAAGTTTGATAGTAATTTGTAACTTTGGTTAATTTTTATTCAATACTAGGTTAGGGGGAAAAAACCAGAAACAAAGACTTCTATTTCCTGTTTCTATTTCCGGTTGGGGAGGGGATAGGCAGGAAATTAATGCTTTAAAAAGCGGCCGTGGGGGGGGGGGAAGCTTCCAACAATTGTGCGGCTCATAGCTGAGCCACGTGATTCCTTGGAAGCTTTTTTTTTTACTCCGGGTTTGCAGAACCAACGACAATCATCCCTACTGGTTAGGCCAAACCGGGAGGGTTTCCCCCATGGGCTAATCAATAAAGTAAAGCAACAAATGGACTGTGGGGGGGCTGCAGCTCCTGGCTTGGGATGACTGGAGACTGGAGGGAGAGGCCAGTAGCTCTTTCAGTTCTTTTGCCGCTTTGGAACCGTGGTTTGCTGTAACCCGGGCGGTGCTCTCCCGCTCTCCCCGTAGACCTGAGCTGCCTGGAGGCAGCTACCCAGACGGAGCTGCACCTACGTCTGCCCACGGAAGAGGCGGCCACAGGCCCAGGCGTTTCAACCGTCCTGCAGGCTTTCGCCATCCTGGGGGAACTGGAGATGAAGTTCAAACATTTTGGTAAGTCCTTCCTCTTCCAGCAGCTTCCTGAGTGTGACAAGAGGTTCGGTTTCTGGTCTTGGTGTCCAGATGTTCTAGATTTGGCACCTCAGCCGTAGCTTCCTCCTCTGGGGCGGAGACAAAGGATGACCTTGGCTTCTAGCAAAGAATGAAAAACAATACATTCCAAAATCCTATCCTAATCCCCCCTCCCATTGACTATACTTAAAGAACCAGCATAAGGAAATAAGAGAAAGCGTGGCAGGCCAAAATTCTAAAAGGAATATAAACGCAGGCCTGACAGCCACGTTGAGAAGTGCTGTCGCTGTCAGTGTTCCAAATAGCATCCAAAAGTAAATCGGAGCAAAAGGTTCCTCAAAGTTCCAACTTGTTAAAGAGAGCCGTGTTGGCACATCTGGGAAAACCCGAATCTGAAAGCTTCCCGGTGTTCCCCACCCAGTTGAAAGTCCAAGATCTTGCCCCCACATCCACCAGTCCATCCCATGGTCCAATCTTCCACTGCTACGAAGACAGATTCCTCCCATCCAGTTCCAGCCAGGTGCAGAGACAAAGATGACCTTGTGTTTCTAAGAAGAATGTTGTTATGGCTACATATCACTCAACTCTGTATAATCCCCTCTCCCATTTTCCCACAGTTGAAAGTAGACGGT